TCCGGACTGCTTCGTGAAATGTCGCCGGTTATCGCAGTCGAACCTTGCATTTAATGTCCTGCTTCAGGCCCGAAATGAATCGAGCCTTCTTCTCGGAGTCATGCATGTCCGTGATTTGATCGCATAACGCTATGAAGACCGACGCGTAACCTTGGACAGAACTCAACTGGCGCTACTTGTCCAGCTTCGTGCGCGCGTTGTCCGAGGCGGATATGGGCTCGAACCGTTCACAATGAGCTGTACCCCCACGCCTTCCACGTGCGAATCTTGGTCGATCCGAAAATCGCGGTTGACCCTTGAGCAGCAGACCCAAAGTTTATGAAAAACCCCTATGTGTCGCCTGCCGAAAACTCCCCCTCCTGAAGTGTATATCGCCACCAACCTAGCGCAGGTCCCCGCAGTCGTGATACAGCCAGCCGGATTTTAAAATCGTTAGCACTGATCCCAGCGGCATTAAAATAAAGTTCCGCCGAAAATAACCAGCCCGAAACAGGAGTATTCTTATCTGTGGGGTTGAACGGGGGCGGCATTGTCGGTTTGATTGTCGCTGTCGTCACTATCGGCACGAATGCCGGTGCGGCTACAGTAGTGGCTGCTTCTGACCGGGCGGCTGCTGCTGTCGCTGCTGCTGCTGCTTCGGCTGCTGCTCGTGCTGCCACGTCACCTGCTGCCGCGGCTTCGCTGTCCTTGCGCTCCTGTGACACCTCGCGTGCGATTTCGTCCAAAACGGTTTCGACACGTCCGGTGCTGACGACCTCCTCTTGCGCAGCAGTTTTCTGGCACGAATCCTCTCGCGCCTGGCGTAACTTGGCAACTTCTGCACAAAGTTGCTCCTTGTCCTCCAGCACTGTAGCCATGCTTGTGTTCATGGCGTTGAACTGCTCCCGAAGCTCGTTAAACTGAGCTGGGTCCATTTGGTGAATGCTCCGTCGGGGCATGGGGAAATCCGTAATGTGCCAGTACTCCGGTAAACGCAAACGCTATCGTAGTTGGGCAAATTAATTAGTCTAATTCGCGAGCAACCGCTTTGCAGCTTACGTGAGGGACTTGCCCCCCCCTCCCCCCCCCCCCCCCCCAAAAAAAAAATCAACTCACGAAAACGGGTGAGCGAGCCAAGTGGCTCCGAATAGCAGGTGTTATGAATGAACAAGCAGAGTAGCGCAGAAATGAATAACAAAGTGTTGAATCACTGAATGACGATTCAAGGAATGGCAAGCCAAGATATAGGAACACCAGAGCACGTCTAACCATGAGATGTGAAGGTTCGGGAAAAAGATCGAAGGGTCTCGAAGTGACAAAGCGAGGCCCGGAGAGCTTCCGAAGCTCGAACTAGAAGGTCTGGAGAAGCCGAGGCGATTGTGTCAGCAAGGTCCGGAACCGTCCCGAGGCTTCGGGTGTGTTCGAACGCGATAGCAGTCCACTCCATAATGCATTGCCCTTGTAAGGAATTTTCCATTCCTTATCGAGCGGTACTGCTATCACGTACGCTCGAACACACCCGAAGCCTCGGAATTGTTCCGGACATTTTTTACAGAACCGCCTCGGTTTCTCCAGACCTTCCAGTTCGACCTTCGGGAGTTCTCCGGGCCTCGCTTCGTCACTTCGAGACCCTTCGATCTCTTTCCCGAACCTTGCCATCGCATGGTTAGACTACCTCTAGTGTTCCTATATCTTGGCTTGCCATTCCTTGTATCGTCATTCAGTAAGTGAACATCTCGTTATTCATTTCCGCTCTACTCTGCTTGTTCATTCATAACACCTGGTATTCAGAGCCACTTTCCTCGCTCACCACTTTTCGTGAGTTTATTTTTTTTGGGGGGGGGGGTGAGTCCCTCACGTAAGCTGCAAAGCGGTTGCTCGCGAATTAGACTGATTAATTCGCCCAACTACGATAGCGTTTGCGCTTACCTGAGTACAGGCACATTACGGATTTCCCCCTGCCCCGGCGGAGCATTCGCCAAATAGACCAAGCTCAGTTCAACGAGCTTCGGGAGCAGTTCAACGCCATGAACGCACGCATGGCTACAATGTTGGAGGACAACGAGCGACTTCGTGCGGAAGTTGCTGAGTTACACCAGGCGCGAGAGGATTTGCGTCAGAAAACTGCCGCCCAAGAAGAGGTCGCCAGCACCGGACGTGTCGAAACCGTCTTGGACAAAATCGCACGCGAGGTGTCACAGGAGTGCAAGGACAGTGAAGCCGCCGCAGCAGCTGACGTGGCAGCATGAGCAGCAGTGACAGCAGCAGCCGCTCGGTCAGAAGCAGCCGCTACTGTAGCTGTTAGGATTAAGGACGGAGTCTAGGTGAACTTAGGAGCTAGAATTACTCAAAATATAAATCCGAAATTCTGGACAGAAAAGTCGTCTTTACAAGAAACGACGTCGACGAAAAACTAGCCGTTGGAATGTCGCGAAACTTGGATATGTTGTAGCTCTTAATCTCAGCTACCGTTCCCAATTTGAATCACGTTGATTGATGAAGTATTCGCGACGCTATGGCTTTCGACGCATTAGGGGGTAAGCTGTAGGAGGAGAACTTAACTCAATCTCAAAAGGTTCAATCAAAGTTCAAGAATCTCACAAGGAATTTAGAGGAGCAAGAGAAAGGTTGGGATAGAAGAGAGGGATGAGAGGGAAGGTCCCAAGAGAGTCCCCAACCAAGGAAACCCCATAAGCACAAAGATTCCCTCCCTATAGGAACCCCAACTTTGACATTTGTCCCTTCCCAACCAATCCATCCAAGTTGGCCACCCTTGCCAACCTAGCTTGGTTGTTCCCAACCAATTTGCAGCTGTTACAGTAGAGTGACGAATTTCCCCAACCCCAAAGGTCCCAACTCCATATAAAGTCACCCCACAACTTCACTTTGTAACCGCCGCAATTGTAACGCAAGCTCATGAACTTTGAATCTTCATAGCTTTCGCGTTCTTGCTCCGATTGACGCGATTCTTGTTGCGTCGGAAAGATCTTCTCAAGATCTATCATCACAAATACCTGCTCAGACAGAATAACACAAAACACATTCCCAAACTCCAGAACACACACCACACAAATTCTTTCACACACAGTCAAACCATACGTGCGAATTGAAACAAGGGATGGGAGGCAGACAGAATGTGATAACATATGATGACATCACACAACAATCTCCCCCTCTGGCTGCCAACCATCAACCACCATACCAACATCTCAAGCATGCATACTCAATGCACACTCATCCCAGCAAGCTTCATGCCCTTCCAATGATCCGCCTCCGCCAGACGCTTGGTGAAAATATCTGCTGCCTGCTGATGGGTCTTCACTATCTCCAGCCGCACCTCCTTATCAAGGAGTCTCCTCACCCAGTGCCACTTAGGCCTTATGTGTTTTGTCAGCCCATGCAAACAAGCATTCTTGGCGAGCTTCACAGCAGACTCATTGTCACAGAACACAACTGTCGGCTCCTCCTGACCAACTCCCAACTCCTCCAACAAACGCCTTAGCCACACTACTTCCTTGGCCCCATGGTGTAAGGCCATGTACTCAGTCTCACATGAGGACAATCCCACCTCATTCTGCTTCTTGCTGCGCCAGCTCACAGCACCACCTCCTAGCAAGCACACATAACCCCCAATGCTGGTGCCATCCGCTTTCACTGAGTTGAAGCTAGCGTCAGTATAGCAACTCAAGAGCATCTCACCACTCTTCACATCTGCAGCACCTCTCTGCAACCGCTGCCTCACTCCACTGTACTCCAATCCCACTGATGCCGTAGCACTCACATAGCGGACCAACCTCTTGGCCGCTTCCAGCTGCTCATGACTAGGGCGTGAGACCACACTAGCCAACCGTGATGTAGAAAATGCAATGTCAGGCCGTGTATGATTTGCAGCATAATTCAGCGACCCAACCATCGAATGAAACAGCTTCCTGTCACTCTCACCCACTACCTCCTCATCAGCACATGGCTCCACAGTAAACCCTGAAGGTAGTGGTGTTGCTGGCTTTCCCCCATCTTGCAGCCCATACTTCTCAGCCAGCCCCTCACAGTACTTCCTCTGGTGCAACCTCAGCACACCCTTCTCCACATCTCTCTCCACATGCATCCCCAAGTAGTACTTCACCTCACCCATCTTGGAACACTTGAACTGCATCTCTAGCATCTGCTCTGCGCTGTCCAGCAAAGCAGTTGATGCAGAAAAGAGAAGGATATCATCCACGTACACCAAGAGCATGAGGATTTCATCCTTCTCCTGCAGCAGGAACAGGCTGGGGTCACACTCACTCTTCTTGAAACCCCCAGCCAGCAGCGCCTCCTCCAACTTGTGATACCATGCACGAGGCGCCTGCTTAAGGCCATAGATGGCCTTCTTCAGCCTGCAGACCCTGCCGCTCCCATCATCCAGCCCCTCTGGCTGCTTCATATACACCTCCTCCAGAATGATCCCATTCAGAAAGGCAGTCACAATGTCCATCTGCCGTATCTTCCATCCCAGGAGTGCAGCTATCGCCAACAGCACCCTCAGTGTTGTTCCTTTCCCCACAGGAGCAAACACCTCATCATAGTCCTTCCCTTTTGTCTGCTGAAACCCCCTTGCCACAAGCCTAGACTTGTATCGGGTCAGCTCCCCTTCAGGTCCATACTTGTGCCTGTAGATCATCTTGGAAGTGATTGCCTTCTTTCCAGGAGGCAAGTCACACAGGTCCCATGTCTCGTTCTCAATCAGGGACCCAAACTCCTCATCCTCACTCGCCTTCCACTTCTCCCCATTTGGTCCATTCAAGGCCTCTTCTCGAGTCTTGGGCTCAGGGATTGGTGCCCAGTAGCAGTGAGCGATCTCATCTTCCTCAATCTGCTCAACCACACTCCCAGCCTGCACCACATTCGGCTTGCCTCTTCCCCCATAGGTCAGCCTCACTGGAGGGCGCACATCCCTCCTAGGACGCTCAGGCGGGTGTGGAACTCGAGGTGGAGACTCATGCTGCTGCTGCTGCTGCTCTACTTCAGCTGCTCCCCCTTCCTCAGTCACCCCAGACATCTCCTCCTCTGACACTGCAACCTCTACCTGTCTTGAAGGCCGCTGCACCTCATCCGCCTCCACAATGAGCGGTGTAGATGGAAGCTTCTGTTGCTGCTGCTTCCATTCCTTGTAGTACAGGGACTCAAGAAACTTCACATCCCTTGACACTGTCAACTTCTGGGTGGTCAAGTCCCATAGCAGCCACCCCTTGTGATCCTTTGCAATCCCCAAGTGCACACCCCATCTTCCAGAAGCCTCCAACTTCCCCCTTTTCTCCTTGGGCACATGAAACACCACCATGCACCCAAATGCCCTCAGCATGTTCACCGCTGGAGCACTCCCATACCACTTGGCATATGGGATCCACTCCTTATCTCCAACTGTAGCCAGCACCCTATTCTTCACAAGGGCGACCTGCCTCAGTGCAGACACCCAAAACGGATCAGGCAGCCCTGCACGCCCAAGGAGAGTGCGTGCCCCCTCCTGCAGGGTCCTGTTGAACCTCTCAGCCACGCCATTCTGCTGCGGGTTGTAGGGCACTGTCAGTTGATGCTGGATCCCCTTCCTCTTCAACTCCCCCTCAAAATCAGCTCCAATGAACTCCCCACCATTGTCACTACGGATCACCTTCACCTTGTGTCCGCATTCCCTCTGAGCTCTCGGCATCCACTCCTTAAGGACAGCCGCTGCCACCTCCCCCTTGCTCTTCAAAGGGTAAACCCACACTGCCCAAGTGTGGTCATCCACAATTGTCAAGAAATAGCGGCTGCCTGAGAGGGAAGGGGCTCTTGTGGGCCCCACCACATCCATGTGCACAAGTGCAAGTGGGGTCTTGGATGGTCCAGTTGCACTGTTGAAGGGGAACTTGGAGAACTTGGTCTCCAAGCATGTAGGGCAGCTCCCAATCTCCTTCACTTCCCCTTTCACCTCCAAGCCCTTCAGGCTCCCATTCTTCACCAACTTCTGCAGCATAGGGAAGTTCACATGACACAGCCTCTCATGCCATGTCTCCCAATCGGCCTCTCCACTCCTTGATGAAGCCTTAGCCCATGCCGCACTCGCATCCACACCAGCAAGCACCTCACCATGTGTCTGCTGCTGCTGCACTTTCTTGACTGCTTCCAGGACCCCATCAGTTGGTGCAGTTGCATCTCCTCCTGCTGTTGCCTTTGCCGCTGCTGCCGTTGCTGCTGTTGGAGTCTTCCCATTCCAAGGGATGATGGGCAGCTGCCACAGGTCCTTGATGCAGCTGGTCTCCTCTTCCAGACTCCACAGCACCTTCTTCCCAAGCTTAGCACGGCAGCTGGTTGGTCCAAAGGTCACTTCGGCCTTACTCTTCTGCAGTCGCCGCACAGAGAGAAGGTTAGCAGACAAACCTTCAACTAGCAGAACATTCCCAAGCCCCACAAGCTCCCCATTAGCTCCCTTAACCTTGGCATTTCCAACACCAATGACAGGGAGCAAAGCACCTGACGCTGCTGCCACATACTTGATCTTCCCAGGGGGTTTTACCTCATCAAGCAAATCTGCCCGTGGGGTCATGTGACTGGTGCAACCCGAATCAATCACCCAGTGCGTGAGAGGGTGCATCACAACCTTTCCCACAGATCCCACATCACCCTCATGCCCATGCACATCCTCAACCATAACAAACAAACCAGGATAGGCATTACCTTGTGCACCTTCACCTTGTGCACCTGAGCCTTGCACAGCGCCACCTTGTGCGCGTTCACCACTGGGCGGCTTCATGCCTGGAGGTGCCCATCCCTCCAGCCTGCTGAAGCACTTGAACCAAGGATGCCCAACCTTCTTGCAGTACCAGCACGTGCCCTCCATTCTGGTACTCCCCCTGCCACTAGAGCTCCCATGCCCCTCATTATAGTCACCTCGGCCTCTACCTCTGCCAAAGCTCCTCCCACGGCCTCGGCCTTTCCAACCCCCTCTTCCTCTGCCGCGCCCTGCAGCTCCATACCCCTCAGCAGTCTTAGTGGCAGCACCGCCTCCCACATGGCGTCTGCGGAAGTCCTCCTGCAGAATCTGCTGCCTTAGCCACTCAGGTGTCCATTGATCTTGCTGAGAGTTGAGGGTGGGGATGAGGTTATCCCACGAGTTGTCCAACACCGAGATGATCTTGGTGCACTGCTGCAGCTGAGATACACTGCTGCCCGCTGCTGCCATCCTTGCATAGGTGTCCTTGATCTTGTCAAGGACCGGCTTCACATCGTCCCCTGGTCGCATGGAGATGGCAGCAAGTTCCTTCTCGAGCACGATCACCATCAGGAGAGTGTTGGGCTGAATCACATCGCGTAGTAGTTTCCACGCCCTTGGACCCGAATCATCCGCTTCCACAAGATCCTTGATGTGCTCGAACATCTCCTTGTTGACCGATTGAAGGATGAGGTCGAAAAGCACCGTGCTTTTCTCAATCCACCGTTCACGTGCTTCGCCTTCTTCCGGCATCTTCTCTTCCCCAACAGCAATCTTCAGTAGCTTGTAGCGTTTGAAGGCACTTCTCATCCGTCCGCTCCATTCCTCATAGTTGGAGCCATCCAAAGCTTCAACTTTTGATGGCGGCGGTTCACTTGTCTTCTCAGCTACAGCTCCTCTTCCATTAGCATCTCCTCCTCTCTCATTCATCTTCTCCTTGAGAAATGACGAATTTCAGCCCCCCTTTGCTGTCCACACTCAGCTCCCTCGATATTTTCACAAGTGTCGGCGTCCACGAAATTTCGGCAGAGTTTCCCCTTAGCGGAAGACACATCCAACCTTTAGAACACCACTTAGGCACACCCACAGGCCATGGTGGGTCTAGAAGGGTCTTCACACTTCTGTAGACTCCTCTCAACGTCCTTAATACAGCTCTGATACCACTTGTTAGGATTAAGGACGGAGTCTAGGTGAACTTAGGAGCTAGAATTACTCAAAATGCCCCGGCGTTTATGCCGATCGTGACGACAACGATGATCAAACCGACAATGCCGCCCCCGTTCAACCCCAGAGATAAGAAAACTAATGTTACGGGCTGGTTATTTTCAGCAGAACTTTATTTCAACGCCGCTGGGATCACTGCTGAGGATTTAAAAATTCTACTGGCTGTATCGCTACTGCGGGGACCTGTGCTCGATTGGTGGCGATATACTCTACAGGAGGGGGAGTTTTCGGCAGGCGATACACAGGGGTTTTTCGGAAACTTTGGGTTTGCTGCCCAAGGGTTAACCGTGATTTTTGGATCGACCAAGATTCGCACATGGAAGGCGTGGGGTACAGCTCTGCGTGAACGGTTCGAGCCAATATCCGCCTCGGACAACGCACGCACGAAGCTGGACAACTGGCGCCAGTGGAGTTCTATCCAGGATTACGCGTCGGTCTTCATGGCGTTATGCGATCAAATCACCGACATGCATGACTCCGAGAAGAAAGCTCGACTCATTTCAGGTTTGAAGCAGGACATTAAATGCGAGGTCCAGCTGCGACTACCGGCGACGTTTCACGAAGCCGTCTGCTTCTGATAATTTTTTCACGAATTGTGCATATCGGACGCACATCGGACGTATGCGAGAGCGGGTTCCCAGGAGGGAAATCGTTTTCGTGGCCAGAATCCACGGCCCACAATTCACGGTGTAGTGGCGAAGGAGCACATGGAAGATTTTCGCAAGGGACAATGTTTCAACTGCCACCAGCCGGGTCACCAATCTCACGATTGCCCCCGAAAGAAGTAGATAAAGAAGGACGACGAAGGCAGGTCAAGAAACGCCAAGCGTCAGTAGCGGTCGGGCCCCCTACTGACCCTGCTTCATCGCCCGAAAAACACCATCCCCACCGAGTAGTGGTTCCGATACATGCTATCAACCGCTCCCGATTGAATAAGGGGGATGACCCAGTGGATCACCCTGTACTGGCGGAAGGACGACTCAACGGCAGAAATTTTAAAATATTCATCGACGGAGGTGTGAGTCACAGCCTGATCAACTGAGAAACAGCACGACGACTACACCTGACGCTGGAGAGGTGTCTGCCCGAAATGGACGCGCGATTGGTGGACGGCACCCCGCTGGCGATACGCGACAAAGTACGTGTCGTTCGAATGAAGTGTGGTGACGATTTTGGTTTCAGCGCGCCGATGCTGGCGACAACGCTCGATGGCTACGACGTGCTATTGGGACGCAATTGGCTGCAAAGATTGAACCCGCAAATCGATTGGACGACAGGCGAGTGCACAGTGAAGTGCGACAAAGGCTGGCGAAAATTACCCACGTGGCCGGAAGCAGAGACAACATCGACACAAGTCAACGCGGTGTGCCTCAAACGAGCGGTCAAGAATGGAGCGGATTTATACGCCGTTCATCTAACCGAATCGACGGAGCAGAACGAGGCGACCGACATCAACAAACTCTGCGCTTCGGTCCCGGATGACTTGGCGAAAATCATTCGGGAATATCCAGAGATTTTTCCGAACGACTTGCCAAGTGGACTGCCACCCGAACGACCCCAAGACCACAAAATCGAGCTGGAGCCCGGCGCGCAACCTACTGTACGCACCCAATGGCGCCTGACTCAGCCGGAGCTACAGGAGTTACGAAACCAGCTGGACTCCCTGCTGGCGAAAGGGTTCATTCGGCCAAGCACGTCACCGTTCGCAGCACCGATCCTGTTCACACCAAAAAAGTAGGGCGGACTTCGCATGTGTACGGACTATCGTGCCCTTAATCGGGTAACGATAAAATCGCGCTACCCAATCCTACGCACGAACGAACTGATCGACAATCTTCGCGGAGCTCGCTATTTTTCGAAGATCGACCTTCGCGGTGGTTAGCATCAAATTCGGGTGTTCGCTGACGACTGCCACAAGACCGCGTTGGGTACTCGCTACGGGAGCTACGAATACACGGTGATGCCGTTTGGATTAACGAACGCCCCCTCGACGTTCCAGCTCACTATGAATGGGGTGTTCCGCGATCTACTCGACAAATGCGTGATCATTTACCTGGATGACATCTTGATCTACAGCAAGACTCGGGAGCAACATTTAAAAGATTTGGAAGCAGTTTTTCAGCGGTTGCAGCAGCATCGTCTCATCACCAAGGGCTCCAAGTGCGAATTTTTAAAACAAGAACTGGAGTTCCTGGGGCATGTGATCTCCACGGAGGGGATTCGAATAGACCCGAAAAAACTCTGGGCCATTCAGGAGTGGAAACCGCCAACAAATCTACAGCAGCGGCAATCATTTCTGGGTTTCGTGAATTACATGCGGCGGTTTATACCCAACATGGCGGGGTTAACTGGACCTCTAACCGACCTACTGCAGAAGGGGACTTTTTACGAGTGGGGGGAGAAGCAGCAAGCTGCGTTCGAGGCATTAAAAAATCTTTTAATGTCTCCACCGGTACTTCGCATCGCTGACCCGGAACGGCCCTTCGAAGTCATCACCGACGCATCGGAGCAGTACTCATGCGGGATTTCGGTAATGAGATTCAACCAATTGCGTACGAGTCTTGGAAAATGCAATCTGCTGAGCGCAACTACCCAGTACACGACAAAGAGATGTTGGCGATCGTCCACATGTTCAAAATCTGGAGGTGCTACCTGACTGGAGCAAACGTGACGGTGCGAACCGATCACAAATCACTACAATACTTGAGGGCGCAGCCGAATCTCAACCCCCGGCAGATACGTTGGCTGGACTATCTGGAGTCCAATTTCACGTACAAGATCACGTATAAAAAAGGCGCCAACAATATTGCGGACGCCCTCTCCAGACCATGTGCCCAACTTGCAACAGTACTAGTCGCCCAGAGCAACCCGCTACTGAGTGGACTATTTACCCACGGGTATTTGACTGACCCCTTCTTCGTAAACGGCGGCCATCTACCAGTCACTACACGAAAAGGCATCTATTACTTACGAAGCGGAACAGATCGAATTTGGGTCCCAAGTTATCGTCTACTTTGCGAATTACTTATTCAAGAAGTCCACGATTCGAATTTATCGGGACATTTCGGGGTTGATAAAACGCTGAAGGCGTTGTAGCGGTTTTATTACTGGCCAGATATGGTGACGGACGTGCAGCGTTACGTGGCCGCGTGTCCGATCTGCCAGCGAATGAAGTCATCACATCAGCGACCAACAGGACTGTAGCAGCCCCTCGAGCCACCTCAACGCCCATGGCAACACGTAACGATGGATTTCGTTACGGGACTACCAGCCGGACCCAGCGGAAACGACGCAGTTTTGGTCATCGTCGACCGATTGACGAAAATGGCGCATTTCGCACCATGTCGTACGACCATCACAGCCGAAGAAACCGTGCGCCTCTTCATCTCGACCGTTGTTCGTCTACACGGGATGCCAGCAGCAATCATTAGCGATCGAGACCTGAAGTTCACGTCAAAATTCTGGCAGGACACGTGGGCTCGGTACGGCACACGTCTACTATTCTCATCCGCTTATCATCCCCAAACGGACAACCAGACGGAAAGGACAAATCAAATGATGGAGCAGCTGATTTGGACAAACTGCCCCGACCGGAAAAAATGGGAGGACGTGCTGCCCATGTTGGAATTTTCCTACAACAACGCGCCCTCATCTACGACTAATCACTCCCCGTTTTATCTCAATTACGGGATGGACCCCACCGTACCCGTCTCCACCAACGTTGAGAGTCAAGTACCACGATCGCAGCAGTTCGTCGAAAAATTACAGACTGCCCGAGACAAAGCTGTCGAACTTATCCGCAAGGCGAATGCAACTTCCCGACGGTATGCGGATTTACATCGACGGGATATTACCATGGCAGCAGGGCAACTAGTCCTTTTGGACACCAAGAATTTACGACTGCCACTACCGACAAAATTACGACCACGTTTCTGTGGCCCATTCAAGATCATGAAGATGGTGACGACGGTGACCGCCCAGTTGCGCCTACCTAATGACTGGCGTATTCACAACAAGTTCCACGTGAGCTTGTTGCGACCCTTCGTTCTTGACACGTCAGACATCGCCCGACAGCGATTGGTCCCAGATGTACGGCCACCAGCCGAGACGACCATCGAGCCTTCGAAGATTTTGAGCCATCGTATTCGTATCGACGGTCAAGGACGACACGTTGACTTTCTGATACGATGGACCAATTGCACCAGTGAGGACGGCACGTGGGTGCCCTCAGACCAGATACAGTCACCTTCGATAATTGCGAATTATTTGGACCGCAAGCACGTGGCTGATAAGGGGGGGGGGGGGGTGTAAGGAATTTTCCATTCCTTACCGAGCGGTACTGCTATCGCGTACGCTCGAACACACCCGAAGCAGGGCTGACGTTTCAAAAAAAGGCACTCTGAGCTAACCCCCCCCCAAAAAAAATTAGTCTGAAAGGTCTTCAGCCATAATTTAGGGACTCTGAAATGTCAGAGTCCGGAGATGAGCAAGTCTGAAATCCTCAGGATCGTGCAAGTTCATTCAGGGTTACTACAACTTACATGTTATTAAGAATCCTTCTTGTATCTTACATTTTCCCACACGTGATAGGAGCCTACAACTACCGTACTACTACTACCAGTCTACCACCAAGCAATCACTAACTAACAAGCTCCTAGAACTCCTGCGCATCCACTGTAATCTCATCATCACCCCCTCATTGTCTGACAGGAAAGGGTCGTTGTCTATTCTTGGAGCCGCATCATCCTCATCATCACTCCCATCCTTCTCAGCCCGCCCCTCCCCCATGTACTCTGGCACCTCCCCCTGTCGATCACCCGTTGTGTCTCCCGCCACCTCACCCTCCAGGGCCTTTCCCTTGCGCTTACGTTCCGCAGATGCGAAGACAACAAATCGTGCTGGGCGTCTCAGCTTCTCTCGCCAGGTCGCCAGGGCATCGGTCCAATTGATGTCGTACTGCAGCAGCGAGATGGCCATCAACTCAGAGAGGTGCGCGTTGCAGAGTGAGCCACGGACCCAGGACTTAATCACGTTCTGTCGAGAGAAGCCCCTCTCGCATTCGACTGTTGACAGAGGCAGCACGGCACAGGCCTGCCACAGGCGCATCAGATTGGGCCAGCGCCTGACACAAGATAGAAAAACAAAGGCGGAAGAAAGGCAGTAGGAAATGCATAGAGTGAAGGCAGATAACAAAGGGGGTTTAACGGCGGTCGGCAAGGGCGGCAATGTTGTGCACACTTGACAAGTAGAATGGGAGGTGATGATTCAGAAACAACAATACCGTTGGACTTGCCTGCTCGAGTCCGTCTTCGTGAGGTAGTTTGCCAGGCCTTGGTGGAAGCTCTCCACCTCGTGATGATTCTGCATGATCGGCGCCCACGTTGCGAGCTCCGTCTCCGCTGCCTTCATGTCGAAGCCGGGCAGCTTGTGCTCGAAGATGCCGCTGCATCCGAGTAGATACTCTTTCGTCTTTTTCTCGCGCTGCGCCCGTTGCCTCGGCCACTTCGCCGCCACCCACAGCTTCGTTGGTGACATCTTGCGCAGATCCCGCATCCGCTCTCGTACGTTGATCATGGTATCCTTGGCGTGCTTCTGGCACAACAGCACGCAGTCCTTGTAGCTGCTCCCGTACTGGTGCTTGTCGAGTTGCCGCTCGTGCATCTTGTACGTGTGGGTGACGGGGTTCCCCTCCAAGTCGATACCGCGCACCTTCACCCGCTTCGACCCGCCGCGCCCGTACACCGTGAGGAACGCCGAGAGCCAGGTGTTTTTGGCACCGACACCGAAAACCTCCCCACACTCGACATAGCGGTGCCGCAGATCCCCCAGTGTCTCGTCGATGTCCGTTGCCACCTCTGTGACATCGACCTGCGGTATGGGGGGGAGGACACAGAGGAGAGGGAAAGACATGAGTACTTGCACGAGAGGAGAACACCACGCTTGCAGACAGTATCTCACCTCTCGCTTCTGGAAGTTGAGGTTGAGGTCGTTCATGAGTGCCAGCATGTCAGCCAGGTAGAAGAGGCAAAACTGGAACTTATACGAAATCACAACCTCATACAGGGGATGCTCATACTCATACAGCAGGACAATCGCAGCACCCAACACTTTACACAGGCGTCGGATTGCCTCTCCCCTAGACAACCATCGAACTTGATGGATGCCTTGAACCTCAAGGTTTGTCCTGTGAATCGCCCGCTGCAGATGCTGGAAACGACTGCTCCATACGCTTGACCGGCCGAGCAGGTCTGCAAGGGTGCGAGTGACCTTGTCGACCATGTCGAGGTCTGGACATGAAGCGGTGGCGTCCTTCACAGCAAGTGCTTCTCTGCATGTACCCACACAGGTAGTAGTTAGCACACGGAAACATAAAAAACATAAACAAACAGCAAGGAATAATTTAACAAACCTGCAGGCGCGCCACAAGCCCGTTGTCTCGCCCGACCATCACCGACGCGCTGTCTGTGCTGATGCTGACGATGCGTTGAAGGTCGATGCCGGACGACTCCAGGTGGACTAGGAGAGTGGCCATGAGAGAAGCGGCGTCGCACTTTTGAACTTCTAGCAGGGCTAGGAATTCGGTGACGACTCGACGCAGCCGCATGAATGTGATGTAGGCGATCAGGTGCTTTCCCCGCGTGCGGTCGGTGCTCTCGTCGCATGAGATGCCCAGGTAAGGTGAGCTCTTGATGTGCTCCATCTGAGTAGCCAGTAGATGAGTTGACAGACAGTTCACCATCTGCTGGAATCCATACCTGCAGTGGCATAATCAGAAGTGAAACAGTCGTTAATTAGCATTGCAAATGCATTGAAATTTACATGGCTGATACCAAAGTCATACAGTCGACCGACGAAAACAAGGTAGCCTTACCTGGTGAGATACACACCGTACGACTGGAGAGGTATGTCTGGTGTGTCTTACTCTGCCATGAAACGAAGCAGCCTGGGAAACATGGCGATAGGAGCATCGTTCTAGCAAAGAAACTCCACGCACTGCAAAAGACGGATGACGCGGCGGCCTTCGACATCGACGGTGGCGAAGCTTGTCATCTACTGCTGCTTGTCTTCAATCTCCTTCTGAATCTCGAGCTGCCGGCGAACCGCCTCTTTGTGGACTGTCGAGTGTTCATGGATGCGCATCGTCTGTGTCTGGAGATCTCGCCCGCCATCGCCTGGCCTTGAATACTTCGTCGTTTCTTTGCTGAAGGCTCGGCAAACACTGCACTTAAGGGCGGGGTAGCCTTCCTTAGTACGGGTAAGTACAAGCCAGGGGAAATAACGCAACCAATCATTCTTGTACTTAGCCTCAGCGACTAGGTACTTCTGCTCAATCAACTCCTTTGTACTTAGCTTCGGTGGCGGCGATTCATCAGGGCGGGTGACAGGGGGAGGTGAGCGCGGTGGTGAGGGAGGGCGAATCAGGCCACCAAGGTTGATACGCTGCTGCGTATACTTCGTCGTGCGTTGTTTTTTCGCCGAAGAGACAGTAGATGCGCATGGCACACTATAACGAATGGTAGAGGCAGTGGCGCACTGAATAGGATCCACTGGCCCTCTGCTGGAAGATGCTATGGCTGGTGGGAGAATGAAGGGAGCAGGGGCAGGTCTACTAGGCAACGATGGCTCGTCGCACGGTGTCTCGTCAACAGCGGTTGTGGCGATAAGAGGCGAAGGAGCCGATGCGGCAACGGGCCGCAAGATGTCTAGGGCGCTCCTTGGCGCTACGGCAGGATCCTTACTGCCGCGCGGCTCATCACCGTCAGCAGGAGCATAATCGGCGCCATCCTTTTCAGGCATGGCGAGAGGAGGAACTAAAGAAAGCGACTACAACTACGCATGTGTCTCAGACAAATGAACAAATGGAACGATTCCCCCTGTAAAACTTGAAGCAGTGCGTTCAAAGCTGTTGGGTAAGGAACGATTGGAGAAGAAGGGGTCCATCACACCCGTGTCGCACCTTTCTTGAAAGGTCTGCAAGGTTGGCATAGAGGGCACGGGCCCGAGGTTCGCGCATGCACAGAGAGCAACAGAGCAGAATCTGCGGTCCTTATGGGCTCAGCATGGCAGCATTTTTGCCGCGCTGGATAGCAAAGTGCCCACTGTGGGCAGAGTATACGTTGGACTTGGCGGAATTTTATGCGAAGTGTGGATTCTGCACGTGACGCGGGCGGGAAGCACTGATGGCAGGCGAAATTTCTGGGGATCTTGCGTGCCCCATGGAAATATGTTTCAGGGTTTGTACCCGATGAACTCTGAAAACTCAGTACTGGATTAGCGTGTACTCTGATTTTTTCATGATCCCCAAAGTCTTAGTCTGAATCAATCAGGATTGAGAAAATGCCTTATCTGGAAATTCAGGTTTGGCAAAAAAACCGGTCTGAGATTTCAGACTAATCAGAGTAAATAGTCTAATAAAATCAGCCCTGACCCGAAGCCTCGGGACAGTTCCGGATCTTTCTGATAGAACCGCCTCGGTTTCTCCAGACCTTCTAGTTCGACCTTCGGGAGTTCTCCAGGCCTTGCTTCGTCACTTCGAGACCCTTCGATCGCTTTCCCGAACATTACCATCGCATGGTTAGACTACCTCTGGTGTTCCTATATCTTGGCTTGACATTCCTTGTATCGTCATTCAGTGAGTGAACATCTCGTTACAGTATTCATTTCCGCGCTACTCTGCTTGTTCATTCATAACAGCCCTTCAACCACTAACACATACCGCCCGACAACCTCCACCGTTACCGTTCACCCTCCCTTCAGGTTCCCCCTTCGACCGCCCATTATGCCGGCCTCCGCGATTGCCCCGCACCGACCCGTGTCTGCGCCTGCGCATCTCGCTTCGCACCAATCGTCCCCCCGGACCGCCGGCCGCCCAAGCCTCCGCGTTGCAGGTGCTTTCGCGCTTCGTTCCGCACGTCTATCCGCCTGCCCGCTGTCAAGCGCCCTTCCCGAGAATGCCCTCCTCAGGCTGCGCGATGCGGGCGCCGGCCTGATCGGCGTGGCATTCCCCGCGGAGAGCCCCGCGCGGAGCCATCTGAGGCGGGAGAAGAGGGAATGGCGGAAAGTTCGCGCTCAAGCCGACGATTCCGCCGGAAGGGCGCCGCCAGATGAGCGAGCTTCGGAACAGCCGTCCGTGGGAGCGGAAAGGGCGGAGGCGACAGCGCATCTGGCGGAGGCGCAGCCCGCGGACGAGCCCGCGGAAGCGAACCGCGCGGTGTCGACCCTCGTGACGCTCTTCCCCCTGTGGGTCGCCCTCGCCTGCGCTGCCGCCCTCCGATGGCCAGCACAGTTCGTCGTTTTTCAGGACGGGCGGTTCGTAGTGGGCGGGCTTGCGCTGACAATGCTGGGTGAGTGAGGGCTGGGTGAGGCAAGAGGGGCGAGGAGGGGGCGGGTGAGAGATGAAGGGCGTGAGGATGGTGGGCGCGGTGAGACGGACCCATTGCAGGCCATGCCTCGCTAAACACTCACTATCCGTCTCATGATCCATCCTTCCTCCCTGCTTCCTGAACCCCGAACCAGAAACTCTTACGCCATCACTGCCTTTCTCTCCTCCCCTGTCATGCATGCACCATACCATACCCCATGTCCCACGCCCCATGCCCCGTGCGCCGTGCCCCGTGTGGCAGGCATGGGGCTGACGATCAGTGTGGATGACTTCACGCGCGCTGTGCTCATGCCACGGCAGCTGCTGGCGGGGGTGCTGCTGCAGTACACGGTGAGCCGCCCATCCCCGCTCGCGCTCCGCTTCCCCTCTGCACGCCGCTTTGAGACAATAGCCCCGCCGCAGCTGCATGTATGGCACACATTGATTCTGGCAGCGTGGTCAGCGGGAGGCACGAGAGCATGGCAGGGATGAATCACGGGGTGCGCAGCATGCTGCGATTCATGTGCGCATGCGAGGGTGCTGCAGGCAACGCGAGGGCGCTTCTCTGTACTGATGAATACTCTGTTTCTGAAACCCCTCCCCCCCCCTGCACCCCCCCAGGTGATGCCGTGTCTGGGGGCGCTCATCTCGCGCTGTCTGCCCGCGCACCTCTCTGCCTTCGCCACGGGCCTTGTGCTCGTCGCCTGCTGTCCCGGCGGTCAGTGCTCTCGCCACCCCTGCCTACGCATGTCCACATCGCACGGGCACGCGCATCGGGTGCTGTGGCTAGCCGGGAAGGGCTTGCTTGCTGCTACGTGCCATACTTGCTCCCCCTTTAACCTGTCTCTTTCCCTGCCCCCCCTTCCGCTGCGTCTCTTGTCCCACCATTGCCTCGTCGCAGTGTTGTGCTGTTTATTTGCGTTTCTCGGACGCATGTCATGCTCGCATCTACTCGCTTCCTTCCGCATATCGCTATCCCCTAGTTCACAAGTTGCATCACTCTGCACCTGTGTGTGCGTGTGTGAGTGTGCCGAACATATGTCCACTGTTTGTGCATGCGTGTGTGCACTCATTGCCCCCCGCCACCAGGCACTGCCAGCAACATTGTCACCTTCCTTGCCCGGTCAGTAGCCCTCCCCTTGCTGCTCACACGTCATCATCCTTTCCCCGCTTCGCCCTGCCATTCTTTTCCGTTCTACTCCTCCCCGTGTCTTCCTTTCTCACACACCCCCCACGTTCCCTCCCGTCCCCCTTTCCATCTCCTTGTTGCACCTCCCAAACCTCCCTTCCTCCTCCCCCTCTTCCCCAACTGTCCCTCCTTGTTCCAACAGTGGCAACGTGGCACTGTCTGTGCTGATGACAACAGCCAGCACCCTCCTCGCTGTGGTATGCCAATCTCCTACATGACCTGCCATCCCCACCCCTCATAATCCCTCCCAAGCAACTGCACACGCGCATTCCTTGCCCAGTCACTTCCAACGCATGTGCTACAGCACTCGCTCCCTCTACTTGTCACCTCTCTGTGCGATCACTGTCATCCCTCTTCCCCCCTCGCCGCCTCACCGCCCCCAGGTCATGACGCCTCTGCTCACCTCCCTGCTGGCTGGGCGCTTTGTGCCCGTCAATGGCGCCGCACTCTTCATGTCAACTCTGCAGGTACTCTCCCCCGTCTGTGCCCTTTAAGTTACCCACGCTCCTGTGGCCTGAGTGGTCCGTGTATTGGGCAAGTCCGGTAGAGGACGAAAGCAGGAGGCTTGGTTCCTGCCGGCCATGTTTCCTGCCGGCCATGGTTCCTGCGATTACGGCCAGTAAGGGCCCAGTGCCAAACTTAGAATGGGCCATAGCAGGGGAGGAGGCAAGAAGTAACAGAGAAACGACACTTAACTCTGAATATACTGCATAACACCTTGTGAAAAAACACTCACACCCCTTCCCGCCTCGCTCTGCCTTCTTTCCCTCCCTCCCCTCCTCTCTTCCTCTCTCTCTCCCCTCCCTCCTCTTCTCTTGCTCTCTCCCCCCCCGCCCTGCAGGTGGTGATGTTGCCTGTGTTCACGGGCACGCTGCTCGCGCGTGTCTTCCCCTCGTTGGCCCACCGCCTGGCCCTGTTCTCGCCGGTGCTGGCGGTGCTGACGGTGGCGCTCATCGTGGCGGGCGCCATCTCCGCCTCCGCCGCCACCATCTGCGCGGCGGCGCTTCCGCTGCTGCTCTCAGTGCTGGCGCTGCACGGGCTGGGCTTCGCCGTGGGCTACCTGCTGCCGCGCGCCGCCCTGGGGCTGGATGAGTCGGCCAGCCGCACCATTGCCATTGAAGTGGGCATGCAGGTGCGTGCATGCATGGGCGAGAGGGTAGGGGGGTGAGGCTGGTGAGATTGCTGCTGGTCCGTGCCCCATTCCCCTGTATATAACACCCGCCGAAATATACAGCCCATGGGCGGTTTATGCAGGGTGAACTTACAATATGGCATGTATTTTAGAGAACCCGTTTTTTTGGGGGTTGCATGCATTCTCCATAACACCCTGGTAGATTTGTATCGCTTTTAAAGTATTTGTCCGTTCATTGCAGGGTCCGATCTGCTGCAAAAAGGGTTTCGCAGGAAAATTGCGAGTCCACTATGGATAGCAGCGCAAGAATGGGCAAAAGAAACAACACAAGTTGCAGCGCGGATTAAAAGATGAGTAGAGGGCGAGAGGGTCGTGGGTGTCCAACTTACTGGAACCACTGCTGGATCACTTTCCCACCGCTTCCCCAGGCACCGAACCGGCCCTGTCAGAGTGTGCAATCTCTGTTGCATATTCCTCGTTAACAGCCGCTCTCTGCAGTTGTTACAGCCTGGGATGCTATGTACTGGGGATTACGGTACGTGTTGGATGCAGTGAAAGGATGGGTCTGCTGTTGCATGTGGGCACCATCAGCTCAGCCCACCCACCCTCACACCTGCACTCCCCTCCCATATCCCCCCTGTCTCACTGCTTCCCTGGCCCTGCCTTGCTCCCCCCCGCATCCTCCTCCCTCTTCCCCCCCCCCCCCCCCTCCCTTTTGTGCGGTGTGTGTGTGGCAGAACTCGGTGCTGGGCGTGGTGCTGGCCATGCAGCACTTCCCCGATCCGCGTGTGGCAGCGCCGTGCGCCGTCTCCTCCGTCGTGCACTCCCTCCTCGGCAGCCTCCTCGCCGCCGCCTGGCGCGCCACACCCGTGCCACCGCATGCACATGCCGGCAGGGAAGCACAAGCCGTGTCCACTTGATGGGACTGGGGGACGAGGTGTGAAAAGCTCAGAAACACGTGCAATCAAACCTGGCTAAGGACTCCTAACTTAAAACCACAGGCTAGAATAGCAAAAGGGGGGCACACTTGAAAATTGAGTATTTTGGGGGTCAGAGAAATGAACCCGATTTGCAATGGTACACCTACCTTGACGCGAAAAAACAAATGCTGCGATTTTGCAGCGCGCAAACCATCGGTTAACGGAACAATGCAGTCGTAACTCCTTTGGCAAACACGCTGCGACAATCTCGAGGGTCGCAAGGCTCAACCAAAACAAAGTCCATGCGAACACTCGTCATCAGGGTAGAATTTCAAGTGAGCCCCAGGTGTACTATTGCTTTTCAGACGTACCGTATTCTCCCGGATATAGTACCATAGGGAGCTAATAAAAATTCATGAAAATTTTGGGGTGGGTGGAATTAAAGGCAAAAAAAATATAACACCATGGTTCTATGGAACGTGCATATGGGTTTTCCAGTTGCAAAATGTTTCTACTTGTTACACCACTTTGTACTGAGTCAGATATCGACTTTCCGTGACCTCATCGCGTAACTGACGATGTGGTACATATACAAGCCACGTCGTTGACTAAACCAGCTGAGTCACGGAAAATGCTGGCAAATCAGCCAATGAACGCGTGCCGCAGGCCTCATCCTAGCTGCTTCCATGCAGCGTTGTGCCATCACAGCGTTGCTTGACGACATCCAAGGGGAGATTCCATTCAGGGCCCACCCACGACCGTCCATCGCACAAAATCGTACGCTGGACGCTCGTGAAGGGGCTGTTCGTGATCGATAGGGACGAGGAGTCGCGCACGTCCCTTCCATCCCCTCCATCCCGTTCTTGAAGTGGGTCTACCTTACCTTTTTGCCTCATTTCGCCATTCAGCAGCAGAATGCCTACAAGACAGCCCCTGCAAGGGCTGTCTCAGGCACCCCACTCGGTTTCTGTTAGAGGCTCCCGCCATGGCGTATGGCACAGGCATGTCGCGTGTGCTATCTCATAGAGGCCCTTACGGTCAGCAGACATTCTTCCACCGTCCATCCCGCCCGACAGTATCGTCGCCCTCTCGGAGCCCAAGTCGCACGTCTGGCGAGGGCGACAACACCGCCACAGACTCAGCGACCGACGCGACGGAGGGTCGGCGTCCCCTGCCCCGTGTCACTGTGCCAAGCTTCCCCGTGCCTGTCCGCCATCCAAATGGCCCAACTATCAACCATGACGCGAACCCCCTTTCTCCTCGAAGCAGGATGACGAAGCGGAAACGCCGCTCGTACAGCGCTTCGGAGAAATTGTACTGGTTAGGAATGTTTGACTCTCAGCCTGACCTCTCCATCCGTTCGTAGGCCAAGCTCGCAGGTGTGCAGCCTGTCATGATTCGAGAGTGGAGGAAGGCACGGGAGAGACTCCGTGTTGCTGCAAGCTGTCGAAAGCGGCTCGTTGGCGCAGGTCGTCCGGCGAAGTTCCCGACGATGGAAGCGGCTCTCTACCGTCAGTTTCTGCGGCATCGAGGGAAGGGCCTGGCTGTCTCCGTGAAGCTCTTGCAGAAGTGGAGCCGCTCGTACATGAGGGCACGCCATCCTGATGTCGACTGGCGCGCGTCCGCCCGCTGGACCTTCAGATTCCGCGCGTGATTTGGCCTGACACGACGTGTGAAGACGAAGATGAGGCAGAAGCTCGCCAATGGTTCGCTTGCTTTCCCATCTCGCCAATCCTGTTGAATAGTGCATGCTTGTTTTACGAAAATTCCCGACTAATTCTCTATCTTTGTTTTTGTTTCATGCAGACATGCGGGAGAAATTCCACAAGTTCTGGGAATTCGTCAAGCAAATGCGACTGCTCAACGGCTACAATCTCGACCTCATTGTCAATGCGGATCAAACTCCGCTTTTCATCGAGATGCCGCAGGAAAGGACCTTGGAGCACAAAGGTTCGCCGACAGTACACGTGAGGACCGCCGGGTACGAGAAAGAGCGCTTGACCGTCATGTTGGTGGTCACAGCCTCAGGAATGAAACTCCCGCCATATGTCATCTTCAAACGGAAGACCCTGCCGAAGATTCTGGTTCCCCTAGGTAGGGATTCTGAACTCTGGCAGATTCCTTGATTGCTCCACACCGTCGTCTGTTGACTGACTCTCTGCCTGTGGTGTTTGGGTCCATGCAGGTCTCATCATCCGAGCCCAGCATAAGGGCTGGATGGACGACAAGCTTGTCCAAGACTGGACTACTCAAGTCCTGAACCCCTTCCTTCGGCCGCTGCGCGAAGCCAGCAACAGGCGCAAGGATGCGCTAGTCATCCTCGACTCCTACAAGGGGCACCTCACAGAGGCGGTCGGACAAACGATGGAGCTGTGCAAGCTGACGCGTGCAGTCATTCCTGGAGGCTGCACGCCTCTCGTGCAGCCGCTGGATGTCGCAGTCAACAAGAGCTTCAAAGCTGGTGTGCGTAGCGACTACGGCACCTGGTTCGAGGAGTTCGGCATCGACCTCAAAACAGCAGCAGGTGAACCCACTTCATATTCCCGCTGCTTCGTTTAATGCTTCGTACACTAATCTGACCATTGTTAATGTTATTCATCGCTTTCTAAACGCTGATTTGTTGCCGTTGACCGCCACCGCTCCCTCTGCAGGAAATCTGAAAAAACCCCCAGCAGAGCTCATTCTCAAATGGATTGCACGGTCATGGGCGGCAGTTCCGGAGGAGCTCATACGGGATTCTTTCAAGACCTGTGGGATCTCGAACGCGTTGGATGGCTCCGAGGACAAGTTGGCTCTCCGTCACCTCCGCGAGAAGCCGGGCGTGGAAGTCATGGACGACGTCCATGTTCAAGAGGGTGAGAGCGATTACGTGAACCCTCTGTATGATCGCACGATCGACGTCGACGAGGACTTCGCCGACGATGAGGAGCATATGCCACGGCGGCAGCAGAAGCCGATGGCGACATGGATGAAGTGGCAGCAGCAGCTCCAGTAGCAGAGGATGCCGACCTCTCTACAGCAGAGGCAGAGACAGCAGCAGAAGCACAACGAGCTGAAGACAGTGTGGAGTGGCCAGCTGAAGGCACTGCTGAAGAGGATGATAACAGCCACTGGTGGGATGAGCTGGCAGATGGGAGTGATGTTGAGGAGTGGCATGCTGGCGACGATGAAGATGATGATGAGGACGACTAGAGCACGTGGCAGAGGCAGTAGCAGCATGAGCTAGAGTAGTGGTAGCTTGTATTGTGGTCCCCTTATATAGCTCTAGGACATCCAAGCAGGCTTAGGTTGTTTAGCTAACCTCTAATTCCTGATTGTTTAGCGAAAATTCACTGGAATGTAGTGCCCCGTTTCGGGGGGGGGTGTTCAATTGTTTTCAACCCCAAAAGTAGGGTGGTAACTAGATCCAGTTTAATTAAACACCCATACCCGCTCAAGCCACCCATGGGAGCTTAATTCCGGCGGGTACTGTATTCGGGAGAATACGGTAGGAGACCCGACACCTACGCTAGCTTAGCGCAGCTCCCCAGCCCTTTCCCCGGTCTAAAAAAACAATCTGGCGTGCGGACGGGAAAGAGCAGCTCCCCGTGTGTGAACGACCCTTTAGTTCCGACAGAAAACACTGTATTGTGCAGTAGCGATGGCAGGAAGCGGTGGAAAGGATGCAAGCAAGCTCAGCGTAGATAATCGTCCGCCGCAGCTTGGCGAAAAACATTGGGCGGTGTGCCACGGGTGTTTGCGAGACGGTCAGCTACTTGTCGGCGAGATCGCGCGGCTGTTTCGCTGCTGTCCGGGAAGCATAGCGAGTCCGCTATCAACCTTGCTGTAGTCAGGCGACGGGGGAAAAGGGGGGAAAGTATGGGGAAAAGACAGGGAGGGATGCGGGTAAGAGGTAAGCAGAATGGGGGAAACATGCATGGGTGGACGTGATGGGGGGAATGGGAGCGCTGTTAGAGGAAAGAGGCGAGCGGAATGAGGGGGAGAGCGAGCGGAATGACGGGGAGAGTGAGCGAAGTGAGGGGGAGAGCGAGCGGAATGAGGGGGGGAGCGAGCGGAATGAAGGGGAGAGCGAGTGGAATGATAGGGAAAGGCGATCGGAATGAGCGGGATAGCGAGCAGAGTGAGGGGGAGAGCGAGCGGAATGACGGCGAGAGCAAGCGGAGTGAGTGGGAGAGCGAGCGGAATAAGGGGGAGAGCGAGTGGAATAAGGGGGAGAGCGAGCGGAATGAGGGGGAAGCGGAATGAGGGGAGAAATGGGGAAGGGAGGGAGATAGGGGGCAGGGAAATCGGAAAGGCAGGGAGATAGGGGGCAGGGAAATGGGGAAGGCAGGGAGATAGGGGGCAGGGAAATGGGGAATGCAGGGAGATAGGGGGAAGGGAAATGGGGAAGGCAGGGATATAGGGGGCAGGGAAATGGGGAATGCAGGGAGATAGGGGGCGGGAGTGGGTAGGAATGGTTGGAGAAAGGGAGGACTGGGGGTTGAGGATGGGTAAAGGGGGGCTCGGAGGTAGCAACGTGGAGATCCCCCCTCCCATGCTCTCCGTTTCCCCCTTTTCCCCTCCCATGCTCTCTGTTCCCCCCTTTCCCCGTGCTATGCTCACCGGCTCCCCCTTTCCCCCTCCCATGCTCTCTATTTCCCCCTTTCCCCATCCCATGCTCTCCGTTTCTCCTTTCCCCCCTCCCATGCTCTCTGTTTCCCCCTTTTCCCCTCCCATGCTCTCTGTTCCCCCCTTTCCCCGTGCCGTGCTCACCGGTTCCCCCTTTCCCCCCTCCCATGCTCTCTGTTCCCCCTTTCCCCCTCCCATGATCTCTGTTCCCCCCTTTCCCCCTCCCATGCTCTCTGTTTCCCCCCTTTCCCCTCCCATGCTCTCTGTTCCCCCTTTTCCCCATCCCATGCTCTCCGTTTCCCCCTTTCCCCCTCCCATGATCTCTGTTTCCCCCTTTTCCCCTCCCATGCTCTCTGTTCTCCCCTTGCCCCGTGCTGTGCTCACTGGTTCCCCCTTTCCCCCTCCCATGCTCTCTGTTTCCCCCTTTTCCCCTCCCATGCTCTCCGTTTCCCCCTTTTCCCCTCCCATGCTCTCTGTTCTCCCCTTTCCCCGTGCTGTGCTCACTGGTTCCCCCTTTCCCCCTCCCATGCTCTCTGTTTCCCCCATTCGCCCTCCCATGCTCTCTGTTTCCCATGCCGTACCCTCATCCCTTCTTCCCCTCTCCCAACTAGTTTCCCCTCTCAATCTTGTCGCTCAACCCCTTGCTCAGGTGCTCTTCCATTGAACAGCAGATTCTTTTGTTAAAAAAGAATTAGCATGTGTGGCCAAGTTTGTGTTTTGGCTGGTTAGATACTCGGGAGACTTATGTACACCCATTATTTATTGCAATATGTGACGGAACTTTCTCTTGCAGTGTACCAAATCTATTGTATTTTCAAGCATGTGATTCATAACATGTCCGAGGATATGTTGGTTTTGCAATGTGGTTTTACATCGTGTTATCTGTTACGCTGTATAATATGCATGTTTCAATGTGTGCAATTTGAGACCACGTCGAAGTCAAGGACAGAGCGTGTTCACAATCTGTGAACAAACCTCCGGTCTCAGCATCTTTGTATTCTCCGTTTCGTCACATGCTTGGGTTCCTCCATTTTCGTGATCTGAGTTACGCTGCACTTCCCCACGTAATCACGCCCCTGTTTCGGCTTCACTTCCGTCTCGTCATTTGGGCGGGAAATCGGGTTTGTCGGGCATGGCTTTGGGGCATTGGTCGCACGCGTTCCCTTACGACGTTTCGCCCAACCCAACCACCCGTAGGTGCGCGAATTTGAGGGTGCGTATCTGCCCAGCTGCCCCAAAACTGCCCAGGCTGTTTCGCACTGGGACCCCTTTTTTTCTGAAGTGCCCCCCCTTCAAGAGGGGCTCACTTGAAGCCCCCCTTTGCTATTTTAGCCTGTGGTTTTAAGGACGGTTCTCAGCTATGGCACCATAAGGTGTATAGTCAGAAAAGAGGGACGAGGGGCCGGAGTGGATGTTGTGTGGTGGAAGAATACATGCTCCCCCTCCCTGGACGAGAAATGAGCTCATTGCTAAAAAATGACCTAAAATATCATGTGATACAAACAGTTTTCAACACCCATCTATCAAGGGCGGCTGCGCCATACTCAATCTTGTAGTTGCACCCAACCAGTGACGGCGTTGTGCACCCTACGAAACGGCAAAACGTCTAGTCCAAAATATCGCTCAGAATCTCAGAGTCACTAATTTGACTAGGAAGGGTGGTACAGGGTAGTTTTGTGCTAGGTGTTGTACTCGCTATGGCATGCACCCATCTAGCCTATAACAATATACATCAATATGTTGACACACCCCCTAGGCAAGACAAGGGGCAATGCAGTGCCTGGCAAGAGACACGCGTCTTAGGGTGGCACTACTAGTCCAACCTCTGAGGTGTTGTGATATATGAAGTTTTGCATTCCTCCAAGTTGCGGGTTTGGTGTAGCAAGCAGTATCGAGTTTCTCAGTAAGCAACCATACCCGAGTGCTGATGTCAGCAAAGCATCGCGGGTCTCGTTGATGATGTCAGCATACCGCTTCAGTTACGCGAATAGGCGTAACGAGACGTTTCAGTCACGCGAACAGTCGCAACCCTATAGTATGACGAATTGGTCGCATAGCGCGCAACTAGCCGAACAGGTACTCTCCCTAGAGCTATAAATCCTTGTAATGCCTTTCTATTATTAACCTTGACTTTCCACAGAATTATGTGCTCAGGTTATTCAACCTTCGATTACCCACAAGTTCATGTGCCCAGGTTCACTCTTATAAGACTTCCGCTGTCTTACTAGTCTACCATTCCAGAATCACGATCCTTACAAGTACTATTGAGTAGTAGAGATACTACTATACGCAAGGCTTGACTCAAGCAGATTCTATACTTAGTCTCCCTGCAAGTCGAGCACCACTCGTCAAATTCTTTCATGTGGCTATTCTTTCTAGTCTATTCTTCCATTCTCACAGATATCACACTACATAATATGTTAGAATTGTGTGTTTCCACTGATCAGCTTGAGAAAGCTTAGGCACACAAATTCACTAGGACCAAGATTACAAAGTATGGTACACAAGGCAAACACTAATACTACCCCATTGAACCTCATTGAATACGGAGAGAACGTTCGCACGAGAATGTTTACATAACTACTCTAAGCTGCGCTTAGCCAAGTCAGCAATGGCTGGTGAAAATTACAGCACATGCTTAGTTGGTAATTTTTACCCACTTAGAAGTAGTTGTTTTAACACTTTCAGATATGAAACTGTCAAATGTTACGCACATTTCCGCAGTTACGAAATGTGCATCACGTGTTCAATTTCTCAATGTCGCAGGTAGATTTTGCCGTTTTTCGGTTCAAATCGGTTCTGTGGTTGACTGACGATATGGCAAATTTCTCGCGATTTCGGAACGCCACCTCCATTTCTCAAGTCCCTGTTTTTCTGACGAAGGGGTCGCTCGCAGAAGCGAAGTCCGAGATGACTCTCTGCCGCGCTTCTGCCGAATTTCGTTTCTGCTGAGGGGGTCGTGAACAGAAGAGATAGCCGAATTGCATTTCTGCCGAACTTCGGCAGATCGCAATTCTGTGCGAGCAGGTCCTTGCGCCACTCTGCCCGAAGTCCTGTTGGAACGCATTTCTGCAGAGTCGCCCTTGCCGAAAGGGTCGCCCGCCCCGTCGCCTAGCCGGCCCAGTAGCCCAGCCGGCCCCGCCTCCTAGCCGGCCCCGCCTCCCAGCTGACCCCGGCGCCTAGTCGGCCCCGTCGCCCAGCCGGCCTCGTCACCTAGCCGCCCCCGTCGCTCAGCCGGCCCCGTCAGCCGACCGGCCCCGTCGCCTAGCTCGCCCCGTCGCCTAGCTGGCACTGTCACCTCGCCGGCCCCGTCGCCTAGCTGGCCCCGTCGCCTAGCAGGCCCCGTCGTCTAGCCGGCACTGTCGCCCAGCCGGCCCTGTCGCCTAATCGGCTCCGTCGCCCAGCCGGCCCCGTCGCCTAACCGGCCCCGTCCCTCAGCCGGCCCCGTACCCTAGCCGGCCGCGTCACCTCCCCGCCTAGCCGGCCCCGTTGCCTCGCTGCCCGCGGCCCCGTCTCCTAGACTCCTCGCCGCCGTCATCGGCCCTCTCCACCGCACTGCACCGCACTGTACCGCACTGCACCGCTCTGCATCGCACCATACCGTAGTGCACCTCCGTCTACCGCACTGTACAGCACCGCACAGCAGGTGTTGAAAGGCTTAGGCACTAGGTAGCCATGAGAGGCCGAATAGGTTTTAGCTAGAGAGAGAAATTGTCGAGAGAAAAGAGAATGGCTAGGAAGAGGAAGAGATACAAGAAAGGGGGGGGTTATCCCTTCTACAGTAGGATCTAGTAATGTCTAGAACACGGCAAACAAGGGAATATAACCTTATGGGTTGTACTCCATAAGCCACAACCCTATATGGTATACAAAAACATACAAGATATGTTTGCCACACCCCCTAGATTGGATAGGGGCAGTGCCCGATTTGAGAGAAATAGCTCATGGTGGGACTACTAGTCCAGCCTCTGAGGCAGGGGTCTAAAGACCAGTCAAACAAGTACAGACAAGGCAAGAGCAAGACCAGTGTGGCACTACTAGTCCAGCCACTGGGAAGAGGCCACAAGGCCAGTCAGGGTAATATATATAAAGGTCTGTACACAATCAAGGTCCTAGCAAGTGAGAGGCTACAAGAACGACACCTAGCTGCATACAGTGCCGCTG